AGGCACTAAAATTTGTTATATGTAAAATAAAAAATACTTATTTTTATTAATAATTTCTTAATACTTAAATCAATTAAAAAAATTTGATTAAAATCTTATTATAATATTAAATAAATAATATAAAAAACATAAAAACAAACGTTGCACGGGTTTGAAAAAAAAAAATTAGTTTAGAAATAAAATGATAAGAATACTAGTATTGATAATTTTGAGAAATCATAATTTACAACATGCAAATTAATATCCTCTAACCCATTGGGTTGGCTAAGTGGTTAACTAAGGAAAACTGGCAAACTGCCACCCAAAGTTAGACTTGTAAAAGTGGAAAATTAATACTAGGCAGGCTATAACTATGCTGTAAAGTGTAAAAGTGTGGTTTTATGTGTTTTCTATATTTATGAGTTTAAGTATGAGTTCAACCATTTAAAGCTTAATAAATTCTCGAGCTCAAATTTTTAAAGTGAGTTCAAGTACAAGTGTTTAAGGCATTTGATATAAATCAAGGGCTTTGTGTCTAGAGATCTGAGAAATAGAAATCGAAACCAGCAATTGAACCAGGAATCGAATTGAATTTATGTACAAGAGCGAACCTATCCCTTCTCAAAATAAGAATTAACAAAGTAGAAGGAGATGGTGAAAGGATCGGTTACCTCTGGCTAGGAAGAGATGAATCCGGAGAGGAAGACATATTTTCTTGTTGCCAAGAGATAAACCAGTAGAGTCTGAATACGGCTCTTTCGTTACTTGTTTTGTTCTAAATCTCTAATAATGAGAAGACATGAGGAGTAAACAGCCACCCCCCTCTATTTTGTCCATGTCCAGTACGCATGACAACCAAGCTGGTCTGGACCGGGGCCGGACCACTCGAATTGGTCAGAGTCCGGGCCCAAGACCACATGGGGTGATAGAAGGCTGGAGATCGAGCGGATTGGGGTGGAATGATTTTAATTTAAGGGTATATAAATTGATTTGAGGAAAAACGGGTGGAAGGGATAGATTTTTTTATAAATTAAATAATAATATTTAAAAATATTATAATTTAATTAAGTTAAAGTTAATTTTTATTTTATTTTTTTAATTCCCCTCAAATTAAACATACTATAAATATTATAGGTTTTGAGTTTAAATTATTTCAAGTTACAAAAATAATTGTTAAATACTGTATTTTATTGAATTAGAGGAGAAAGTTTGAAATGTTTAACTATAAAATGTATTTAAATTCACCTTACTTCTTATAATAATTGAAAAGAAAATTAATCACTTTAAAATTACGCCATTTCAATAATACATATCTTAAAATTCATTTTTATCCTTTCTGTGTTTGTTGCTTAATATATTATCCTTTTCTTACAAAAAAAATATATAATAAATTTCTATTGAAAAAGACATAATTTTATTAGACTAACATAATTCCAACTAGATTTCCTATTAACTTTTAGGAGATAAAATAAATGGTCACTTTTCTTATATATATAAATGTTTTGCCAAACGATTTGAAAACATTTCTAAAAACATCTCTAAAAACATCATATTTAATTTCTTAAAACTAGCATTGTATTAAAAATTTTATCCATATAAATTATATATATATCAATGTGTATATATATATTCAATAAATAAAAAATTTATCAAAAAAGGTACCCTACATATATATTTTTTGGCCATTGCCCTATATATATTGTTCTGGCAAGTTAAAAATTTAACCTGCCCTATTAATCTACATGCGTTCATGCAATCCATTTCAATTCAAAAACTTCAATATTCAAATTTATTTTACCACATTTATTCAATGATGAACAACCCACACCCACATATATTCTTTTTTTCCTTAAAAAAAAAAAAGAAGAAAAAAACGGAACATATAACAAGAAAGATAATCGAAACGGCAGTCTGTCCAATTACTCAGTCTTTTTCACTCCAATGCTTAATTGCCTCCAAGACAACTTGTTTCACCACTTTAGCATCAATAGCTTCACCCTCTTCTTCATTCTGAAAAATGCGAAACACATTCTCATCACCATAACTAACAAGATATATATGTTTAAACTTTTAATTACGTCGTATCACGGAACTTAAATTTAAGTTAGTTTGCAGGTTGTGGTCATACTTCTCCTCCAACTGCTTTTAGTCTGAAACTGTCAGTACAAGAAACCCTAGCTTCCAGCACATTAAGATTTAGCTCCTCAAAGGCTTCAAGTATCGACACAAGCAACCCCGGGCAGCTTTTCGCTGAAAATACATTAATCAGGAAGCCCTTCTTTAGGGTTTCTACTGTAACCTGCTATATAACAATGAGTAGATAAAAGATAGTTTGGCATCAATTGTACCTTGATGGGTTATCCGCATGGCTTAAAAGTACAAAAGCAAGAAAGGGGAAATAGTAAAGAATTAATATTGCCAAAGAATATACCATAGGCAAGGAATTTTTGTCAGAAGTTTGTGCATCTGCTACATCTTGATTCAGTCTTTCCACTTTCTTTTTTAGCTCTTCAATGTACTTTGATGCATCAACTATGATTGATGTTTCGTTCAGCTGCCACACATGAGAATTACAATGCATCATCAGCATCCTAAACTCCTATGCCTTTTGATTTAATTAGTTTTCTTTTCCTACTGTAATTAAGTTAATTTTCTTAATTTCCTCAAAAAGAATTAATTAAAACACATTACACATCTGTCAGGAGAACTATAAAAGTCACTCAACAAATCAAGACACTAATATTATTTCCTTAGCTGTTGAGTGTGCGTGTGCATGTGTACATACTTGTGCATAATAACTTAAAAACTCAAAATTAACAAGTATACATGTGGATTAAAGAATGAATTTTCCTAATTATTAATCTAAACTTTTTATCATCGATTTGCACGTGAGCTTGTAGCTTAATTTGTATATATGCATGTTACCTCATCCATATTTAGGAGATGAGTCCCTATCCCCTGCCCAATATCGAAAAAGGACTTCCTAGCAATGATCATTCAATCAATCTAGAACATCCTCTCATTTCTCTCTTCCCTTTTGCTCTTCATTTTCTAGCTAAAAAAGGGATAATGGTAGGCTAGAGAGAAATCAGAATAATAATAAGATCACAAATTCTATCTCTTAATTCTTGTGTGCGTGTGTGTGGCTTTTCTCACCCATGCTTCTAGCAGGAATCATGTCATAAGCACAAGATTCAAATTAACTATCAATACCTGAAACTCAAACCTGTGACTCTAATAGGTACATCTGTTTCTAAACTGAAAGGGTACTATTTTCTACTAAAAAATTTTAAGTTTCTTACTAAATATGAGTTTTTGGTCCTACAGAACTTAAATTAGAGAGACAAATGGGTAACTATCTAGTGAGAAATCTGCAAAAATGGAGATTAAAAAAAAAAACTTAAATTTGTTGGAAGTTAATATAATCCACACCAATGAAATTAACTAAACTTGAAAAACATATATAGGAGAAAGCCAGTGAAAGCAAAAGGTTGCAGAGAAACACAGGAGAATTACAGCATGAGAGTTAGTAATGGAACGAAGCAGTTGCAGCTTCTCATGCAGAACTTTTGCTCTCTTGTGCTCCCTAGAAACCATATTGATAATTTGCTTTGTTTCCCAGTTCTCTCTCTCTTTTTCAGCACTACCTTTCTCTGCAATATTCTGAGTCAATTTAAAGTCGGTGAGAGGAGCTCTCAAATCTACATGATCCTTCTGTTGATTCCCACATGACTGCCTAAGTTTGTTCACGGTATGATGTAGATTGCATATGACTTTACCAGATTGTCCTTAGCTTCTTATTATTGTTACCCATTTTGGGATATATGCTATGGGCTTTAAATTATTTAATTTCATCTTTTTATAAACTTGTTTTATTTAAAGTTTTTTTTAGACTGTTAGACATTTTCTGGAATTAGTTTAGGGGCATCTTAATACTACTTCCTCTACAAATTATTTCAAGGGCGGCACATCAACAACATTGATATACGAGGATACATTTAAAAAAATTAATTTTTTCTAGATATTGATCTAGTAATCTCAAAACTTGAATCTTAAACATGATCATTATTATTAATTTTCTTTTCTTTTTATTTAAAAATTTAACAAACTAATATATATGTATAATTTTCCCATATATGATTTTTTTGCCTAATAATTACCATGGTTAGCATCTACTATGTGTTCATATGCCAACAACTCAAGTAACTTGTGGTCATAATCCTTTTTTTACTAAAAATTAAGTGGTAACTTGTGATCATAATCTCTTTTTACTAAAAATTAAGTTTGAGTCACATGTGATTTAAGAGTGAGGTGGATAAAATAATGGGTGAGAATATAATGTGCAGTTCAAAATAATAATAATAATAATAGAGAATTATGACATTATAATATTAAAAATATCAAAATATTTAATCACAGTTATTAAATATATAAAATATATTATAAATTTTAATTTTATTAAATTTATTATATTATTGTTATATATTTTAGTATTTTGAATATCAAAATGTCTTATTTCTCTCTTTCTGCAATGCTAAATTATATTTTTCATGTAATGAAGGGTATTTTGGGGAAATTGGAAATTCAGGGTGGCAGAAAGTAACATTAGAAAGAATCATGCGCTCGTGATAGAGCTAAGTAGGAAATTGTCCATCGAAATTAGTGAAGGAGAAGCAACAAAATAATGCCAAGTTGTGCGTTTGGAATGCCTCCAAATACTCCTCACGGGTGCTTTTAGGGTCCCACTCCCTCCCTCCCCTCTCCGGCTCTCCCCCATCCCCCCTCCCCCCTTATTTTGTTTCTGTCTCTGTATTTGTATCTCTCTCCACACGCGCCACTTTACCATTCTCATCTCAAGTGATTTTTGAAGACAATTGTCTCTTGGGTTTTCTTCTATTTTGGAAATAGATGGGGCCTGTACATGTATTTCTTTTCTAACTTCCTTTCATGTACTGGAAAATATGACTAAATAAATTATATTCTTGTACAAAAATATGGAATACGATGAAATTTACAACTGTCGTACGTGTTACACTTGCTATGCTAGGATGCTTTGTTGAGGCTGTGTTCTCTCGGCATTTTTTTCACACCAATTGATTAAAAATGTTATTACATTTGTATAACTTTAATAAATTTAATTTTTAATTTGAAGTTTTAGATTTTAGATATTTATTCTTTTTAAAATGTTATTTAATATATATTTTTTAATTTATATTTTACCTTTATTTTAAAAGATAATTGATTACAATATAAAAAAAAATTTATTAATAATTTATTATATCTCTAATTTATTAAAAAAAATTAGACTTACTAAAGTTTAATAGGAGTAAATTATTATGATGAAATTAATTTTAATTAATATTTTGTATAATTTTATTTAAATGTTCAATTTGAACAATTATTAGTACACACTTGATTCAATCCACTTTTTAATATTCATCTTATTTTAACTATTAAAATATATTATAAATATAGTTAATTCAAATAGTTCTTACATTTTATATGCATGACAACATTTTTAAATTTGTTTACCTTTAATTTCAAACAAAAAATAATTATTTTTGTAATTATATTGATGTATGACACTTTTTTTAAAATACTTTTTAAACAATAATATAATTTTGTAATAGTAAAATACTCAAAAAATCATAGGCACAATACTTTATAACAATCTCAAATAAAGCCAAAGTCACCAAGGTACCAAGTAATGTTATGTGTTTTTTTAAAGTTATTTTCTTCAACTTTTCTTAAAAAATAACATTAAATTAAATAACTAAGTGCCTGGATTCTAAATTACAGTATTCATTGAGTTAAAATGTTAGAAAAACAAGTCTCTCATATCCAATTTAAAATAAATTAGAAATAAATAAAGTAACAAATATCATATTTTTTAAAATTGATCAATGTAGGGTTCCCAAATTCCATATCCAACAAATGTGTCCTAATTAGTGGCTAGCTTTAGCTAGAATATTAAGGCTATATGTATTTAGTGTAGTTGTGATTTTGGGTTTTTATTTTTGGTTTTTATAAAGGGTATTGATTGGTATATATTTTAATTAAATACATTTCACAACATACTTATTAAAAAATAATTATTTTTTAAGTCTAAAATTAAAGGTAAATAAACTTTAAAATGTAATTATGCATATAAGATGTAAAAATTAACTAAATCGATTATACTTATATTGTACTTTGATAGTTAAACCAAATGAGTGTTAGAAAATGTGTTAAACTAAATGTGTATTAATTATTTTTCTTTTTTAAATTTTACAATTTTAAATAAAAAATTCAATTACTTTTATTTGTTTTTGCAAGGGACATTAATTGATACACCTTCTAATTTAGCATACTGTAAAATGCACTCATTAAATAATTTTTATTTTCTTATTTGAAATTAAAAGTAAACAAATTAAAATATGTAATTATGTATACAGAATGTAAAAATAACTGAATCAACTATATTTATATTACATTTTAATGCAAAATTGGGTGAGTGTTGAAAGATGTGTCAAACCAGATGATGTACCAATTATTTTCCTTTTGTAATATATTATCATAATTACTTAAAGTACAATGATTGGTCCATCATCTAATTCAACACAATCCTCAAACACACTTATTTAGAAATTATTTTTTTTAAATTTAAATTTAGAAATTATTTTTTTTAAATTTAAATTTAAAAATTATTATTTTTAAATTTAAATTTAAAACGAGAAAACTTTTAACTATAGATTTTAATAGCTAAACTGATTATTGTTGATAGATATATTAAACCGAAGAGTGTGTTAATCATATTCTTTAGTTAAAACAAATAGGAAAAGAAAATACGTTCAATCCTGTTAAATAGGTTTATATATATATTTTTTTTTTTTGTTATCGGTGCTAAATTTTGTCTTAAACAAATTGTTAATTTTTAATTTTAGCTTTTGTTTTCTAATAGTTGCAAAATTTATGAAAACCAAAACTAAAAATTAAAAACTATAACCATACCAAACAGTACCTAAGCCTCACTAAAGTTTCAGTATAAATACAAAAACATAAGGTTTCATTTAGGAGTATTGCGTCGTACTCTGTTATAATTATAGCCATAGGTTTTTTTTTTTTTTTTTTTGGTCTTATACTTTATCAAAAATTTATATTAATTAAAATTAATAATATATAATTAATTAAAATTAATTAAGAATAATAATTTTACCATTTTGGACAAAGTGTTGCTTGTAAAATATCACTTTGTAAAGCATTCTCAAACCAAACCTAGTTAACATGAACATTGAAGGATTGAATTTAGCTTGCTTTGTATTGCAATATTAGATGCAAACAATTTCAGATGGGTCACATTTGTCATTTTTAAGAGTGAAGCTTTACTTAATTCTTATAAATGGAGTAATTTACAGGTATTTTCTATTTGTAAAGTTAGTCAATGTAAAAATATAAAATATTTATGATATCCAAGAAATTTTTTTACAAGTAATAACTAATATTTATAACTTTTGAATGTGAGAAATTATGGGATAGAGGAAATTTTCAAATAGTTGGTGAGAGTCAATTTATTGAATGATTAAACCCTAGCACTGAGACCAACTATTAGGTCTAAAGAACAAGTTCAACTGGTATTTATGGTGGCCGTTACAAAAAAAATAATATATATTGTTAGTACACCTTGAAAGAATTGAATACCTTATAAGGTAATGATGTCGAGGTGGCTAACAAATATTCGAGAATGAGTACTACATGTTAATTAAACAGACATAAAGGTAATAGTTTGGAGATGGCTGATTGCTTTCAAGTTCTGGGTATTGTCTATCATCCATTCGGACAAATAACATACCCACCTATTCACATGTGTGCCTGTTAATCATCACAACACAACAATAACTCCATACACAAACCTGCAACAACTTGTCTCTTGCTCTCTTCCTTCAGTTTTTCAAATTTCAGAGAAAAGACTTCGTTTTCATTCCCTCCTCAAATCATAACACCGTTTAGCAATGTTTTCCAGACAAATATTTACAAAATTATGTAACACATATTTTTTCTCCCATTTTCTTTGACAAATTTGAGAATACGTTTGTGTATATATGGTTATGTACGTTTGGAACAGGTACGATGTATCTATTAGTTTCAAGACTGAAGCTGAAACCATAAGGTTGAAGTCCTCACTGATCTGATCTACGAAATTAAATCGAGGTTCATGTGACTTTCAAAAGCTTAATTAAGCTCGAGTTTTTGCTGGTGGCTGGTCATTAACCTTGTGTAATAATAACCATCATACTATTGGTACTCTATGTGTGTGTGTGTTTTTTTTTCCTTTCTTGCCAGATTTCTGTGTTGAATATGAGTTTGACGGAAATGCTTGAAACGACTGCCTTGTGAAATGTATGAAAAATACAATACAAACGGATAAGCAATTCTTTGTTTTGTACCCAAATGGATTCCTCTTAATTTGTTTTTTATGCCTCAAACCAATAATGGAGATGTCACCATATCTCCTTTGTCAAAATTTGAAATAATATCATCCAAAAGTAAGAAGGAATAATATGCCTGTATAGCTTACCATAGGTTAATAAGAAAATTAGATACATGGGATATTTAACATAAGACTCATATTTAATTTTAAATTAATTAACAAACTAAGTAAAATAATCCTTTTTATATTTAAACTACACACATTTCTCTATTTGTCACATTTGAAGGCTGGTGTAAGAAGTGCTTTGGTGAGAATGTCAATATCCGCTAAAAAGAGGAAGAAACATACTGAAGTCAAATAGAGACCGGGCTGCAACTCTTTCCCAAACAAATAAATGTTAATCTCAATATGTTCATTGCATTGATGTTGCAGTGCTGGATTAGTAGATATATAGATAGCACTCAAATTGCGTCACAGAAAAAACAATTCATGTGGGTACAACTGAAGAATATAGAAGATCTCAGCAACTTAGGTTTTGTTTAATTAGTACACATGATTATAGTTTTTGATTTTTAGTTTTAATTTTTATAAATTTTGTAATTAAAAAAAATCATTCACTTTGTATATTTTTATAATATATTATGATTATTAAAAAAATATTCCTTTTTATTCCATTATATTAGTCATTTTAGATAAAAAAAATTGTTTCTAAATAATTGACGTCTTAGATAATCAAGATTGCATTAATTTTTTTTTTTTCAAATTTACCCTTGCTGGTGTTTTTTTTTTCACTGATTCCTCTCCCCTCTTTAACTACCCAATCTCCTTTTATCTCTCACTTTCTCTCTCTTCTGTAACCTAAATGATAATCCCCTGATTTTTTCCCTCTTTTCTCTCTTTCAAAATCCATACTTTCTCCTCTGACTTTCTCTTTCATTCGAAATTGATCCTGGAAACAATATCCTCTCCTTCAATCATGGTGGATCTAAGGTTAGATGTGAAGATCTCCCTCCCTGATACTTGATTGAATGGTATGAACACTCTCGGAGCGGCTTTGAAGGGATTGAAGAGGAAATAATGAGGGAAAGGCAAGGAAAGGGATGAGAGAAGGAGATGGCAGGGAACAAAGAAACCATTTTTCTTGGCCAAAATAAGAGGAAGCCATTGATGTCTCAAATTTTCTTCTTTTTTTTAAAAATTTTGATTTGATTATCAAAATTTGGGTTTAATGAAATCATGAAATTTGAATTAAAATGTCAATAGATGAATTGGAAGTAAAGAAACTATTTGAAGAGAAAATCACGCTGAAAATTTTGGAAATTTTTTTGAACACCGTCCGTCTGTCAAAGAATATAATTATTGTACTTTTTTACTTTAATTATTATTAAAATTATAAAAATTATTATTAACTTTATTATTAGTTTCATGTTAATTATTTTAATTAAATAATTATTTAAATAAAAATAAATTTTTATTTTTTAATAATAATTAATTAAAAAAATATGATAATGCGCTGCACACAGGATTAGAAAAATCCTAAAATAATAAAAGGTTTTTAACTCTTGCGCCTCCTACTCTACTGGGGATAAGGTTTGGGGTTGTAAGTTTTTTTCCTTTGAAATTAATTTCTCTCCCTTTACAAGATTTCCTTTTTTTTTATCTACAAATTTATCTCTACTCTTTTAATGTTGTTTTTCTCTTTAGTCTTGTTTACAATCTATTACATCTTTCTCCATCGTCTCTATTGAAAGAAAAAATCCAAAAAAAATAAAAAAGAACAAAAATCAAGGGCAAGTCGCAATTCTTGAAAGTTTGGTGCGTTCTATTTCGGTTAAATGCTAATTTTGGTTCCTTAACTTTATAATATTGTATTTTTTTTATGCTTCAACTATTTTTTACACTTTTTTTATCTTTCAATTCTAAAAATTGTATAATTTTAATCCCCTCGTCAATTAAGTATGACGTGGTTGTTAAACAATTCTATATGGCATTTTCTTCTAATTCTTTTGATGATATGGCAATAACATATCTTATAATTATATTACACGGACAAATAAAAATGTTACATCAAATAAATATTTATATTTTAATAAAAATAAATAAAAACAACAAAATTACGTTATTACCCTCACCCTCTTGATCCATCTTTTTCCCCTTCTTTCTTTCTCTTTCTTTCTTTCTCTTTCTTTCTTTCCTACCTTTGGGTTTGGTTGAGAAAAGAGAAGAAGAAGATATGGGTTAAGATCGATGTCGCAAATGGAGTGGAGATGAGAGCATTCTAGGGTTTACAAATATTTTATCCCTTTATTTAATATTTCCAATGCAATGTAGGACCTATTTGAGGGGCATTTTGGAGTGTTTAATTCACAAGAATATGACATGACATAAAATTTTGTCCATTTTAGCATCCTTTTTAAGTCGTATCATCCATGTCATCAGAAGAAATATAAAAAATGATATGTGGGCAAAGTTAACAGCTCAAATTGACGGAATGACCAAAATTATGCAGTTCTTAGAGTTAAAGAATCAAAAAAGTGTAAAAAATAGTTGAGGGATCAAAAAAGTACAACATCATAAAGTTGAGGGACTAAAATTTGTATTTAACCTTTTTTTCCTGGCATGCTTGGGCATCAATTCTTTCTTGTGCTTTTGTTACCAACTGTTTGCAGGTTGGTTTTGTGTATTGGAGTGCAGTGCAATGGAGAAAGGTTGCAGGTATGTTTTGGGTGAGTTTGGTGAAATTTGACCAAATTTGAAATTTGTTCGTTACTTTTGAGCTAGAATTAATCTATGGCGGAAGGCTGCTGTGGTACTATGCCACCAATCATCTAAATTCCAGTTGCAATAGTGGCTAAAGATGGATGTTTATGATGTTTTAAAAGATTTTGTTCGTAGGATTTCATTGAAACGTGTCTTATCCAAGAATATTATCTGACCATAGAAAAGGAGAGAAAAGAAGATACCATTTTTAGGGGGTTGGCCTAATGGTTGGTGGAATAATAATATTTGTAGCTGTAGGGTAGTATAATGGAAGGAAATTGTTGTACTACCAAATTACTTGCTCTTTCCTTGAAACATGTATAACAAGTGAAATTATCTAGTGGCTAAAAAAGTTTAAAAATAATATTTTTATACTGTGTAACCTTATTATTATTCTTATAAATCATATGTCAATGTATTATGTCTATCTAGATTATGCTAAAAAAAAGTTTAACTATCATATTTTGAACTAAGATCTAACTACAATAATCATATAAGTATTTGATTACCAGACAACATTAACTACACTAGTCTAGGGTCTAATTATAATTTATACTATAGGTTCGCTGCTTTGTTTTTATGTATTACCCATATGACGAGTCATAGATACATTGTATTTCTTCAACTATTAAGATATTATTGGATAAAAAAAAATTTTATATTATTAAAAAAGTTTATTTATTTGCTGACAATATTAAAACTAGACTTAAATAAATTATTATTTTTAATTTTTTATTTTGGTTTTAATACTAGTAAAATTTATGAAAATTAAAATTAAAAATTAAAAATCACAACTATACTAAACTAATGAAGTCTGAATTAGCAAGGGCTTTCCATACTTAACTTCTGCCATGGAACGAGCAATGGTTTGTTTGTTTCTTGGGCGATCAAGAGATAGGAAATCATCCATGGAAAACACAAAAACCTAAACTATAACACCTACTATCCAAACAGCATTCTTTTTAGCATGAAGGACTGGTAATATCTCATGTCATATATCCCGGCATATCGAGAAGGTTAAAAGGAAAAGAAATCAAAACTTTCTTGTGAAATGCTTTATTATAGATTTAAGGATTATGGTAAATATATCTTTTAATTTAATACATTATATAATACATTTATTAAAAATAAATAAATTTTAAAAATATAATTACATATACAATATACATAAATTAATTGAATTAATTTTTTATATTATATTTCAATAATTAACTAAATAAACATCGAAAAATTTGTAAACCAAAAAATATATTATTGATTTTTCTAGATTTTATACTAAAGGAAGTACAAACCACAATTCAAAACCTTGCAAATAACGTGGATTTGTAAATCAAACCGTCAGGGCTCTATTTATTACAAGAAATTATGACATTTCTTCACAAAGGACTTATTTTCTGAATGCAGCGTTCAGATGATCAGAGGTACAGAACATCCCAAGGACATCAAACAAAGTTCACAACAGACCACGAAAGTTCAATAGATATAGTTAAAGGCACACCTTCACTCAGGTTTCCATGAGGAAAGCGGTGGCGTTTCAGAGTTCTTGTATGTAGCAAAATCAGATTCGTATCTGTCTCCCTTAACTGAATCTCCTGAAGCAATGAACTCTAGTTCAGCCATTTCCTCTGGTGTGAGTTTGATACACAAAGCTCCTATGTTCTGGTTCAAGTTTTCAATCTTGGTGGTTCCAGGTATGGGACAGACATCGTTCCCTTGGTGATGGACCCAGGCCAGGGCAAGCTGTGATGGGGTGCATCCCTTTCTTGTTGCCATCTCATTAACCCGTTCATAGAGGCGTTTGTTATGCTCAAGATTTTCCGGCTGGAACCTGGGTAGAGACTGATATTTGAATAACCCATTTCAGTAATTTCATCCAGGAACAAAATTACACATAATAATAGAAAACAATTTTGAAAGCATCTCCTCCAAAACCAACTAGAGCACACCAGAAAACCACCACCAACAACTTTGAATCATAAAGACCCATGTTAAAATTAACAAATCTTCAATTAGTCAGAAAGAGATCAGTCTTTTCTTATCCATGCTTAATTCTTGGCGTAGGAACCATCAATATTCTGTACTTGGAAGTGAAAAACAGGGCAATCAAGGAGCAGAAACATTTATTCTGGAAAATAGAAATCTTGAAAATTAGATCAGGGTTCTTCACCCACATGCAGAAAATGAAGAATAGAAAGGAAAGCTGAAATTTTGAGCATAAAATCACTGAGAAGATAGTCAAGGCTGAGGACAACAGTTGAAAGGGAAAAATCAATGTTAGTAAGTTAAATAACTAGATTACTAGTCGAAAAATTATAAAGAGAAGATGCAAAATATTTTTGACCTGATGGACTAAAATGTTTAGAACCTAGCTAAACCATACTACTTCGAATCAAACATCACTGATCATTTTCTTGTGAATCATCTAATGTCTCAAAAAATTGAATGGCTTGACCCCTGCCTCAGACATTCTCATCCTCCCCTACACTTTTACTCAAAATAAACTCCGAGGATGATGGAGTAACTCTTCTAAAAGTACCAGTTGATCAGACCTAAAATAGAATCTCAAGCTCATCACTCAAGTCTTTGATCAACTAAGTTTTGAAGTTGATTCTGCAGAATGGGAATGGGAAGCCATAAGAAGAAGAGGCCAATGAGAATAGCTAAGTTGTCAAGAAAATTTGGTTGTGAAATACAAATGCTAATTCAAAGTTTCCATTGTTTGAAGCAGATTTCATAACTCATCATTTTGAAACACTAACTTCAAATCAGAATAAGCAGAATGACTACAATGTCTCAAAAATTTTGATGATTTTCATAAACTTGATAATGATATGCAAACCAATTAAAAAGTTGATGGAATTGATACAAACCTTTCTGAAGTCTTGATTATTGAAATTCTCCACCACCTTGGGCCCTAATGAAAAGAATCCTCTCCCCAGAGGGCTGTATGCAACTATCCCAATCCCAAGTTCCCTGAGAAATGCAAAAAATTTAAAAGAAAAAAAAATATTAGAATATATTAGCTCCGATTGCCAATTCCTGCAACCATAGATGGCTCAGGCTGACCTGCAGGTTGGAACAATTTCCTCTTCCACATCTCTACTCCACAGAGACCATTCCAACTGCACAGCAGTTATTGGATGAATGGCATGTGCTCTTCTGATAGTTGAAGCAGATGCCTCAGACAAACCTATATACTTCACTTTACCTTCTTCAACCAATTTCTTGAGTTCCCCCATCTACCAAAACATCATTGCAATTCGTAATTTTTTTTATATATATACAAAAAATTAAAACTAATATTACATCTAATAAATATTGATCTAACCGCATGGTCCAATTCAAGAAAATTAAGCACACAGTAGACAGAGAACATACCGTGACTTCGATTGGCACACGGGTGTCAATCCGATGCTGATAGTAAAGATCGATCCAATCAACTCCAAGACGCTTCAAGCTTCCCTCGCAGGCTGCTCGGACGTAAGCCGGATCACCACGTATCTCCCTCTTGCCGTCAGCGAAGCTGATTCCGAATTTGGTAGCAAGTTCAACGGCGTCTCTGAGACCACCCTTCAAAGCCTTTCCCAGAAGGATTTCGTTGGTATGAGGGCCGTAAATATCAGAGGTGTCGAGGAAGGTGATGCCAGAATTGACAGCATAGTGGATGAGAGCTATCATGTCGGATTCCGGCTTGGGAGGGCCGTAGGCGGCGGACATACCCATGCAGCCAAGGCCTTGTGCGGAAACCTCAAGGCCTTGGGAACCGAGCTTCATCCTTCTCACTATCTGTACCGCCATTTCTTCAGGGTTGCAGACGGCGGAGGCTGAGTAGAGCAGCGTTGCTATGCAAGTGTTAAGTGTTTGGCAGCGGTGTCAACAAGGCGCTTGCTTTAAATAGACAACATGAACTCCAAAGAGTGAGGTAAGCGCAGATGCAATGTGAGTGTTTTGGTAAGGCATCAAGTCAGTCAATACGGAGGCCAACCCTAATCCTTTGCAAGTTGTTTTGGCAATAATGTGTCATCAAAGAGGCTGTCACGTCATAAGCAATATTATATTTATAGCTTTTTTTTTTTTTTGGTAGAAAGGATAAT